CAGTTTGCTAGAAAGCATGCAGGGCATGCACAACTGGTTTACTTGATGTAATGATTAAACGTAAGGATGAATCAAATTTGTGATGATTCAATCTGTGCTCATGGTTTACTGAGGGCTAATACTTCCCTTCAGGGTTGTGCAAGCTTATCAAATGCACAATAAATTATACTGATTTGGTTCCATTTGCCTTTTTTGCTGAGATAATTTTTGTTTTCTAACAACATGCTGATGGACTGTAACCAGCTTTTAACATTAATTTAACAAGCAGACTATTAGGTTCTGTAGGCACTCCTTGAGCCTGCCTTAAAAACTATAGTGCTTGAGTTTAACCAGAATATATATTGATACCTGTAAAATATTTACATAACACAGTAACAAAATAACATGTAACAAATAGCAGAATATTTACATAACAATTGGATGCTTGTGAAAGTCATTAATTATATACATGAAGTTGATCAAAAAAAGTAAAGTATTTGCAAAGCAAAGGAAACCACAAGCAAAACAAAATGACACCCTATGGAATAAGAAAAAACTGTTTGCAAAAGATGTGACTGACAGAGGCTTAACATCCAGAATATATAAATAGCTCATACAACTTAACAACAAAAAAGAAACCCAAGCCAATCCAAAAATGGGCAGAAGACCTAAACAATTCTCCAATGAAGACAAACAGCCAATAGGCAGATGAAAAAGTGCTCAATATCGCTAATTATCAGAGAAATGCAAATCAAAACTACAATGAGGTTATCATTTCACATCAGTCAGAATGGCCATCATTATAAAGGCCACAAACGATAAATGCTGGAAAGGATGTGGAGAAAAGGCAACCCTCCTACACTGTTGGTGGAAATGTAGCTGATGCAGCCATTATGGAAAACAGTTTGGAGATTCCTCAAAAAACTAAAAAGACTTACCATATGATCCAGCAAGCCCACTCCAGGGCATACATCTGGAGGGAACTCTTAATTTGAAAAGATACATGCACTCCAATGTTCATAGCAGCACTATTTACAACAGCCAACACATGGAAACAATCTAAATGTCCATCAACAGGTGACTGGATAAAGAAGCTGTGGTATATTTATACAATGGAATATTACTCAGTGAATAAAAAATGAATAAAACAATGCCATTTGCAGCAACATGGATGGACCTGGAGATTGTCATTCTAAGTGAAATAAGCCAGAAAGAGAAAAACTACCATATATCATCACTCATATGTGGAATCTAAAAAAAGACAATAATGAACTTATCTACAAAACAGAAACAGACTCACAGACATAGAAAACAAACTTATGGTTACCAGGGGGGAAAAGGGGTGGGGAGGGATAAACTGGGAGTTTGAGATCTGCAAATATTAACTACTATATATAAAATAGATAAACAACAAATTTCTTCTGTATAGCACAAGAAACTACGTTCAGAATCTTGCAGTAACCTATAATGAAAAAGAATATGAAAATGAATATACGTATATGTATGCCTGAATCATTATGCTGTACATCAGAAAGTGAAACACTATAAACTGACTATACTTCAATTAAAAAAAAGTAGTTATATTTGCAGCAGAAAAAGGCAGTGTATACAATTACCATTTCAAATAGTCAGCAATTATGGTCCTAAATATCTACTTTCCCTGCTCAGAGTAACAATTCAAGAAATCTAGAGGAAAAAACAAACCAGTGTCTAAATGTGAATGTAAGGAGGGGAAAAAAACTCTAAAAGATTTCTACCCTTTGATTATCAGTGTTTAAACTCACCTTCCATGCATTCATTCACAGATTCATAGTCAGCATAAGTTCTGCCTTCTGGCCTCTTTGTAGGCTGTACCAGCAAAATGGTGTGAGACTGCAGAAGGAAAAGTGATTTTAATATAAGTTTATAACTCATATTTGAGAAATTCATAGTATGAGATAAAATCCCCAATCATGATACAAATGATCATTGGTTATTAAAACACTATTAATCAGGGTGCTCTTTCTATAATATTTATGCCTTTGCCCAAGTGTAGCACCAGAAGCTGGGTTCACAACTCCTCTGTGTAACGTCTCTTAGTCCCCCAGTCCTTAATGGCTACTTTCTCAAACTATTATTGCACTCACTGCCAGCAGGTATTCAGTGTAAGCTACCTTGTACTGTTTTCTTTCTTTCTTCCCAGCTGATTATAAACCTGCTTAGGTTTTCTATTTCCATTGATCAGTTTCTATCTCTAGCCTTATTAAGTCCCTAATGAAGAGTCAGATATAGGCTGATGAAAGGAGAGAAAAAGGAAAATACTATAATGATTGCAAGTACTGTATCAATCTATGTTCTTTTTCTAACCTTAGCACAACAGTGAAACATCTTATCCAGGGATTAGATTCAAACATCAAGGCATAAGATGAAATGGCAATATAAAATTAATATACATAGTTAATGTTACTCTAGTAAATTCATTAAATTTTTCACCTAATAATGACTCACCATAAAGGGCTATATTATACCAAAATAATTTATTTTTAAACACTAGAATCACACAAAACAGCTAGAGGATTGCACTGCAGGAAATGTGAATATGCCTGAATAGCAGATAGATTTGTCTTCCATTTCATGCTCAGGGGAGGAGTGGGGTGGAGACATGTTTTCGTTAGTGGGTCTATTTCAGGGTTTCTCAACCTTGGCACCAATATATTTGGAACTGGAAGATCCTTATTGTGGAGGCTGTCCTGTACATTGTAGGTTTAGCAGCACCCCTGGTCTATTTCAACTAATACCAGTAGCATTGGAACTCCCACCCAATCCTGGCCAAAGTGTGACAACCAAAGATGTCTCCAAAACACTGGACTATTGAAATTATAACCCCTTCCAATTTTTTGCCGAGTATGTAAGGATCATTAATTAAATGCAAGTATGATACAACTTCACTGTAAACCCAATCCTAAATCAAATCACTCATATTTTTTCCTTGTCTTTTGCTGTACTATTATTTTTGGGTAAAAAAAAAATTTTTTTTCTTAATGACAGGAACCAAACTTTTGAAAAGATAAGAATTTTTTCTTTTCTTTCTTTCTTTTTTTTGTGAAAATAAGAAAGGAGTTTATTTTAGGTCTTAAGAACTGCAATTTGGGAGACACAAATTTGGGTAATTCTGGAAGCGTGTTCTGAGGAAGAGAAAGAGTTGGGGCTTATAAAGGCAAAAAGCCAAGCAGTTGGTAAAAGTTGCCTGGTGAGAACTGTGATGGCCTGTCACGAAATGAACAGAATTTGTAACTACCAACAAACTGGAACTGAAAAAGCTGATGCTTAGACTTTCTGAATAAGCACCAAAAAATAGTACTTTCTGAAAACAATATGAAAAATAAAGTAATTTATTGTACTCCTCCCTCCCATCAAGAACTAAGTCATTCTGATTAAAAAGTTTCAGAATATTTGAGATAAAATAGAACTTGATGACAAGAGATCAAAAGTGATTCTCAGCTATAATGACCTGAACACAGTCAAAGCCTTTCTTAAATAGTGGTTAAAAGCCAGAGAAGGCAGTATACAACATACAAGGTTTTGCAAGCCATCAATAGTTTCAACAGGTCGTATGTTGGAAAAAAAATTTTTTTATAGAAACTATACTAACTTTCCTATAATAGAGCCTGTCCCATACACTAGCCATACCGGTTGCTACTATATTAATTTTGTTCTTATTCTAATGCAAAATAAGGGACTAATTCACTTAAAAGAGTAAAGATACGGAAATGGCTATACAGTATGTTGCTTTTTATATTTAGCCTTAAAATGAATTTTAAAATGAGCAAAGTTTACTATTTTCAATACTTAGTGCCCAAAGATAAAGCTAAAAATTAAGAAAAAATGACTAAATTTACAAAACTGTAGTCAAAATGGTTATTTTTAAGTGGCAGTGCCTTTTTTGTTATCAGTTTAAGATCATAATACTTCTCAAACCTATTTTGGCCACTTTCTTCTTACTGGAGCTAATTTTAGAATCTCTTCATTTTACTAAAATTCCAAATATATTTGTTTTGTTTGTTTGTTTGTTTTTGTTTTGGTGGGGAGGTAATTAGGTTTATTTATTTTTAGAAGAGGTACTGGGGATTGAACCCAGGACCTTGTGCACGCTAAGCACCTGCTCTACCACTTGAGTTATACCCTCCCCACTCCAAATATATTTGCCTTATAAAATTACCAGTTTTTTCTTTCTTCTGGACAGCTTTGGTCCTTGCCTTCCTCATGGTACTCTTTCTCAGGGTAATAATCAGTGCACGCACACATACACACACAAATGTATATATATGCAAAACAAAGAAATACAGGCGTGTATATATATATTTACATAAATTTATGCAGAATTATCTTTAAAAAATCCTTATTTTCTCTGATTACCAAGAAGTTATGATTCACTCTAATGAATAATCTGGCTTTGTTAACTTTTTAAAGCCTTACAAACATGAAATCTAAGAACAGTCATTCTACTGTTGTAGAAATACTACAATACATACATTTGGCTCTTTAGCTTCAAATGCTTCTCCCAAACTACCAAAAAGGAAAAAGAAAAAAAAAAAAGAAAAGAAACTGAAGCTGGTATCTTCAGTAAAGCAAAAGTATTTAAGACTTTTGAACAAACAGTTGTTCACTTTAAACACAAATTCCAATTTTTAATTCTACTCGGACTGATAAGGAATTATCACTGATACTTGTCTAAGGAGAATGGGTTGTTGGTATTAACTGCTATCATTTTCTCAGACTTTAATCTAAGCATTTTAGCACTATCAAATAGTGACACAAAAGGCAAAGAAGGAAACTCAAGAGATGAAATGACTTGCCTAAGGTCACAGTGCAAATTGTAATAAAACAGGAACTAGAAATCCAGTTTTCTAATCCCTAGACCTCTGGAATTATATTGGGTCAAACACTGAAATATCTCAATTCAGAAAAATTTCAACTTGAAAACGTTCCTTGTTAACAACAGTTGGAGTTTCTTGTTAACAAAGGTTAACAACAGTAAACCTTTTAACTGCAGCAACCAGAAAACGAAAATTTAAGTGTGGAAGTAACCATGATTCCTCAGAATCTCTGCGAGCATCTCCTTTTTGTGGATTACAAAATACATAAGCAAAAAACCAAAACAAAACAAAAAGCAAAACCTTACCCACACACTCCACTACCACCCCGGTCAGATTCTAAGGATACATCCTCAGCTGAACCTATCTTTTCAGCCTCCAGCCCCAAGAGACTATAAATAAGGGTGAGAACAGGACTGAGGGCTTAAAGAAAACACCAAACTAGGTATGTAGAGGCCTTAGAAAAGCGAAAAACCGTTATGTATTTTTTAAAAGGCAGAACACGAAAAAACAAAAGGGAGCAACTGAAAAAGCACACTGTAAAGCAAAGACGACCCCTCCTGGACCACATGCTGGGTGTAGCAGATTCAATCTGTCAGCTTTGGGGCAGGATTGTCAGACATCCCCCGGCCATTGTTCCTACAGAAGGAGTTTGGAAGGAAAGAGCAAAATCCCCATGCCTGCCTCTACCAAGGAGCAATCGGGAGAAAGCGCATCCTCCGCACCGCACGCCTCGCACGAGCCAGCAGGCGGGCGCGCAACCGCAGGGCGGACCCGGGCTCCGGGGCCTAGTGCCAGGCCCAGCGTCTCCGCGGCGGGAAGGGGAGGTCGACCCACAACCTGGAAGGCCGGGCAGCAGCACGCTTGTGCTAGACAGGGTGGAGAGAAGATACACGGGTTGGGGTCGCCTCGGGGGCTGGGGTCACCAGGGAGGCTGGGGGCTTGGGGTGCCGCTAAGGCCTTTCTCACCATCGCGCCAAACTCTTTCGCTGCAGCCGCTGCCGACACCGCCGCCGCACACGAGCTTAGCCGCAACGCCGCCAACAGCCAATCCCCGCGAGAGGAACCGCCGGAAGTCGTCAGAAGCGCACCGCGAAAAAGCCTTTTGGACCATAGAGGCGGACATAGTTCCTGCAGCTAGAGCAGATACTGACTCTGTTTCTGCCATCTTGGATCTGGGCGATCTGACACACGGAGAATGTATCCGAACTTGAAAAAGAATCCTTTTATTTTTCACGAAGATGTCTTCCGTACTCTCGTTATGAGACATGCGGCTAAAGTAATCACCGATATAAACAATGAGATAAGTCATCTTTCAATGGCCCGACTCAAAAATGGCGGCAGTATAAGATTCCCGGGGCATAGGTCGGTTGTAACCCGGAAGTGCCCGTTTGAAGGAGGAGGAGGTAAGGCAATCCGGAAGTGGATGTAATGAAGAGGTGCCACTTGGCGGCCATGGCAGCTGTAGTATCCGTGGCTCCGGGTCAAGGCCCAGCGGAGTGGAGTAACATGGGCAGCACTCGGTATAGGGCAGAGACAGCTTTATATCAGCTTCGCTGCTGAACCCCTAAGACCCGTCGTTACAGACCAGCGGGATTCCTGTCCTCATTCTAGACTCGGAGGAGAGTTTGCCTGGATTGGTGGGCTGGTCCCAGACCTGGGGGAATCACCGGCGGGGCTGCCCGAGGGAAACAGGGGAGCCGGGAGAACGAACAAATTCGCTTGGGTTTTTCTCCTTTTCTTGGTACTATCTGGGACTTTGTTTGTGGAGGAAGTAGGCCCTTTATGCTACCCTTATTATGACGAATGAAGACATCGCTCATTCGCCTGTTTTCCCCATTGACTCTTCTCATCTCTTTTAACCCACGGGAATTCAGGGACTGGTATCTGAAGACTCGGGCTAGGACCTAAAATTGCTGAAAGTTCTCTCTGGTGCTAGTATCAGCAAAAAGAGGCTGTTTCCAGGTACGTTCAAGAGAAAGGTGCCTCTCGAACACGTCTGCTGGTGGGGAGGACGAAAGAACTGGAAAGTCCACTTGTTCTCTTGGAACCACCACACGCTCTTAAGAACCTAAGCATCATTTGAAGCCACCGAAAAATTGTAGTCTAGTGGTGGTAGTGAGTGAATAAAGGAGGGCAGAATGGATGATTTCATCTCCATTAGTCTGCTGTCTCTGGCTATGCTGGTGGGATGTTACGTGGCTGGAATCATTCCTTTGGCTGTTAATTTCTCGGAGGTAAGAAATTCTCAATTTTTTTGGTCAGCTATCAGGATGGCTGCTACGAAGTAGTGACAGTTGTAAACAGACGCTGCTTCCCCAGTTAATATCAGAGCTAAAAGTCTTTTTAAGGAAGACTATCTTCTCAAAAATGCATTAACATTTAATAATAGGAACAAACTTCATATTCGGCACTAGCGTTCTTAACCAGGGGTGGGTGGATCTCCTGAAGATCCTGGGATTCTCTGAGATTGCATATGAAAATTTGAGGCTGTGTGCATTTCTTGGAGAGAGGCACCATAACGTTCTTTTGATACTCTTGAGTTCCAAAGAATCAAGACTCCAGATTGCTATCAAAAGATAATGGAGAGTACTATTTATCCATATGAATTAAAGTCAATATAACTTCCTATTTTGAGAAAAGCAAGCATAGTTTTTTGGGGAAAGTTTTTTTTTTTTTTTTGGATACCTGTAATTAGAATGAAGTAAGAAAAAAACTAAATTGGATTGTTCTTAACTCACATTTCCTTTTAAAGAAGAACGTTGGAATGGGTATTCGAAATTGCTTTCAAATGTATTTGTTTAGAAATGGATTTTTTGTTAATATGGTTTGACGTTTTAGTTAATTTGGTTATTTATCATTACTTTAATAGACTTTAACAGGGAAGAAATATAGTTGAAGGCACTGTTAAATGAAAATGCAGATATAGTCTTCAGGTGGTCATAAAGGAGTTCACAACACGCACAGTGTTGAAGGATTAGAGGGAGAAAAACTACTACATTCAGGATTTCATGAGTATGCCTTGGGTTCAGCAGTAAAGTAGTTTCGCTGACGGTCCTGAAAGTGTTTTCAAAGGAAACCGGAGTAGAGAATGGCCTAACGTGGAAAGGAAAAGTATAGACGAGGTGTGAGGTAGGCCTTGAAGAAACTTGAGGGAAGGGGAGGCCTTGCCGGTGAAGAAAATAGCCTATGGGTGGAAAAACATGTGGAAAGAGGCATCATGAGTTTGAAAATAAAGCCCACAGCCAGCTGGAAGGAGGCAGGGGTTGCTTGAATTGCTATTACTCCTTTTTTTGTTTGTTTCCCTTAGCATCTAATGGTAACATTGAGCTGGTTTTCTTTTTGAGCATATACATTACCTAATTTCATTTTTTTCTTTTTCCCTAATTTCATTTTACTTTTTTTCTTTTTGGTGGGGGGAGGTAATTAGGCTTATTTATTTATTTATTTATTTTTAGAAAAGTTACCAGAGATTGAACCCAGAACCTCCTGCGTGCTAGGCATGTGCTCTACCACTTTAGCTATACCCTCCCCACTAATTTCATTTTAAAAACGCAGTGAGATACAGATGAGGAGACTGAGACTTAAATTATGTAATTTGGACAAGTTCACGAAGTGTTTTAAAATCAGAGCTGTTTTTTCACTCTGTATTTTTCTGACTCAGAGCAGTTCTTAGCCACTCTGTCCATTTTTTTCAAAGGTGGTAAACTGGTAGCCCATGTCCCAGATCTAGCCCACAGACTTACTCTGTTAGATGAGCAGCGTTTAATTTTATTATTGTTGCTGGGGTTTTTTTTTCTGTCTGTATTCCCTCAAGGAAGCAGTTAGTTAGAGCTGAGTAGTGGTAGATTGTCATAGTGCTTCTTGGCTGTGAAGCCTACTTCATTCATTTGGGCTACCTTCCTGCCCAGTATTTTGTGAGCCTGCTATCTCTCCTCTAACATAAACCGTATTTTCTTAAGACTGCATTAGAATTGAGTTGACATTATTAGGACTGATATTTGTGAAGTTTAAGTTGGTTTGTATATTTTAAAACATACTGCAATAACAGTTATTAAGAATTATAATTAATTCAAAGAAAGAACCGATGAAGCTTTTTATTTCTATAAAGTGCTTAGACCTTGTCCAAGTTCAGCATTTTCTCGAACTGTCTTGAGTGGTTTTTTTTTGCAATATGCAGGTGTATACTGTTTTCTTTTTCTACTCAAGGAAATGTGTACATGAGTGGTGTAATTAACCAGGCCATTAATAAAAATAATTAGTATGATATGTCATTTATGGCTTTCTGATCAGGTAGTCTTTTTCCAGTGGTATGTCTAAAAATGCTATAAATCAACATTCATAATGTCTTTTCATTATTCCAGCAGAAACAATGCACTGTTGAACTGTTAGAATAAAAATGAAAGTTATATATAACTTAGTCAAAGACATTTTAGAATTCAGCTGGTGATTTTTATCTCCTAGGAATTAAGCATTTTTTCTCGACAAATTATACTGTTATTATAGATCAATGTGTTGTGAAACTAGTAAGATGATAAATTTGTAAAAAATAAACTTCATTCATGAGGACTGGAAAACACAGTTTCTGCCCTTAAAAAATAGCTCCCCAAACTCCTACATTGGCTAAACAACTTTCCTTTTTAAGGGATTCTGGCATTTCTTGGGAACTGGCATTACTATAAATAAAAGGACAAATAAACTTAATTTGTTTTACAGGTCATTTTCATTTATATGAAGAGATATGCTCTTTATTCCCGTTCTTAATCTAGCTGCTGCTTTGTCATTCAATACTTTTTTTCTTCAGAATTTCTCAGAGCAGGAATAAAAGAGCAATAAAGCCATTAATTATATCAGGATTTGTATTTAGAAATGAGTTAAAATCAAGTAGTCTGAAATTACTGTAGCAGTAGTATCTACTTGTCATATCTGACCATTAGAAGATTTCTGTGACACTGATTTTTATGTCACTTTCTCCTACATGCTTTGCTCCCAAACCTGCTTTCTTGATGCTTTTATAACTTTTTTGCCTTTTGATCTGGACTGTACCTTTATACCTAAATGATTTCTAAAAGAAAGGAACAAAATCTCTGATTCTGAAATGCATGTATGAGTAACTGTTAATCATGATGCTTTCTTCTTCAGCATATGAGGAGAAAAACTAAACTTATAAAGGCAGCCAAAACATACTTTACGCAAATGAGGTTCTGTCTGGTAGTAGACCCACTAGTTTAGCACTGTCTTGTGTTTTTCAGATTTAGTTGTTATTGAGCCCTTTTCTTTGGCCCTACATGAAAATACTACCTAAGTAGGTTGAGAGCCTACAACTTAACATTACCTAGTATAATCTTATCAGGTGCTCTGTGAATGAAGTTAAGGTATAAATGATGGCCAGAGTTGGGATTTTAAATTGATGATTTGAGGATTCTTATTTACCTGAGCACGTCTCCGTTTTATCAGCGATCTGGTAACAGATAGCAGGTTGTGTTTGCCCCTGAGCTTTAGGGCAGCACTCCTCCAATTATCTGGTACATGACCAGCTTTTGTTTTTGGTTAATTTCCATTCCATTGCAAACCAGTATACTTGTTAAAAATGAAATACTAAGAAAATGAAGTGGAAAAAGCATACAAAACACAAGCCGAAGTGCAGTGTTTATTAGATTCAACAGACATAGAATTCCTCTTATAATTGTAGAAATCATATTACTATAAAAGTTTTTGAAGGCTTTCTCTCATTTCATACTTTTCTTGTTGCAGACTAGTTTAGATGACAATGCCACACTTTTCATATGCAGATGAAAGTAGGGCTTCTCTTACTTCAGTAAAGATGGTTAGTAATCCGCTAATTTCAAAAGGAACTTGTCTGAGACAGGTACTGTAGTTCACAATTGGTGTGACTACTTGAGCAAGCTATGTAACATCCACGTCTCTTCCGTTAAATGGCCTTATAGGATTGTTGTTAGGATGTAATGAAATAATATAAGCACAGGGCTTAACACTGTACCAAGAACATAATAAGAACTTTAGAAAACATTGAGGATTATTCTCAGTACTGATAACTTTGTTCTAAATTATAATTTTTAAACCTTTTATTTTGGAACAGACTTCTAATGGTGGGTAAACTCCTCCCCTCCCCACCCGCAAATCACAGAAACTTCTCTGCAGTTTGTTTGGAATCTGTAAGGTCTTGTTTAGGGGTTGGCATTCCTGTTCGCCATAAATATTTCATTTGGAAAGGCCAGGGCTCTTCCTGCCCTGCCTTATAGTATGTTTCTTAGTATTTAACTTTTTCTTCTTCATTACACTTACTCTCGTTATAAGCTTTGTTTTGTTTTTCATGTGTTAAAGTTTTTGTTTTGTGTCTAATGATAATAACTGACTAATTCATAATAAATATCTTTGGGGCTTTGAGTTACAACCAAATCAAAAGTTTGTGTCTGAAGAACAAATTTGTTCGGTATGTTTTTTCCTCCAACAATTGATTCTTTTTAAAGTAGATTTGATAAAGTTGCATTTTTAATGACTTTTGCATTGTCTGGTATATTAACCTTTTGTTCTGTTATGGTAATGCAAAACATTTTATGTTTGTTTGGAATTTCCTTTCTAAATTCTAACCTTTCAAACTTGCATTGTCTGTAATTTATCCATATCTGGAAAACAATCAGTAACTTTGTCCTTCCTCAGATTGCTGTCTTTCCAGCTTTTTGTTTCATAAGTATCTTTGCTTGATAAAGCTAAGTTTGAATCAAATAAAATCTAGGTACAATCTGATTCAATATTAACTTCCTGAAAAACTTTCTTTTTTCTAGGATATGATATAGCTAAACATCATTGAAACTTACCTGCGTAATAATATTAATAATACTTAATGCTTATTGAGCTCCTTCTATGTACTAGGCAATGATGTGCATTATTTTATTTAATCCTCAGGACAAGACTATGAGATAGATATTGTTAAGCCTCTCTTTACAAATGAGCACACTCAAGCTTAGAGACATCACAAACCCTAGTAGAGGTGGGATTTGAACTAAGTCAGTTTGATTACCAGTTCAAAGCACTTGATAACTAGATGATATTTCCTCTCCTAATGAACACTATAAAAAAGTAATGAATATATCATGGATCTAAATTGACACCTTTAGCTCCTCAAATTAGGAATATCTTTTACATCCCCAATACTTTACCTTCCACAGTACAGCTCATGTCTTGTGCTTACTAAGTGTAGCTCTATTTTAATGAT